ATCATGTGCAACTAAGGCTTGGACCAAGATACAACTAATTACTATCACGATGACTAAAAGGTAGTGGGGTATTCACTAGGTGATACCTAATGAGATTCAAATGACATTGCTCTATTAGTTAGGAAAAAGTTCATTTTAACAACATGGCCAGTATTTGATTTTAAACCCATTCTTCAAAATTTTCAAATTTGCACCCTATCTAACACCATATTTGCACTACTAAAAACTAGAATTTGGCCTAGTGCCAAATGTTTGTCGAGTGCATTTCATTGGTACTAGGCAAACATGAAATTTACCGAGTTCCATGAAGAAAACACTAGGAAAAATGATGACACTTGACAAATCGCACCTTTGTCGAGTTCCTGCCACATGGCTCTCGACAAACGCATGCTTTACCGAGTTCCTTCCACGTGGCACTGGGAAAATGTTTTTTCTTTCCCCTTTTTCTACTCCCTTATTTTCTTTCCTATTTTTTGTACAATATTTATTTACTTTTTTTGCATTTTATGTTCTTTTATTTTCTACATGATTGATCTTTCTTTCTTTCTTTTCCCCTTTTCTATTTCCTTTTATAGCAATTTAATGCATTTTTAGGCATTTAATGTGTATAATTCGAGTTTGAACTATAAGTGCACGAAAAAATGGCATAATTGGCTTGAAAAATCCTACTTGTGTTCTTTAGCCTATGTTTAGGCCTTATCCAAGAAAATGAAAGGAATTCGAAACATCTTGGTGTCAGGACTCGGTCCCAAATATGTAGTTTACTGGTTTTTTATTTTTTTAAATGCAAATGAAGTCTGAAAAACATGAAACTTGGCATGACAGCCTCATACGACATCAATATGCAGTGGTTATTCCAGAAGATTTCACAAAATTTGTCACCTACACTACTTAGAGACCAGACTATCTCCAAGGAAAAATCTAGACTTCGAGAGGGAATGAGTTATGTTTGAAGGCAAAGTGGCGAGCAGCAGCGGGCATGTAGACTCTGGCGAGGCAGAGCCAACCCGGAGCCACAGACTATGCGCCAGCGGCGTCGCCGATGAAGGGAGAAGTCAGAGGTTGATGGGTTCAGGTCCGAGGCTTACGAGGAGGTCTCCGGCTTGCGTCAGGGTTTAGAAGGATAGCTGGCGGTGGCGGCAGGACGGCAGAGGTTGTGGCTCATGCTGGGCAAGGTGTGTGTGTGTGGCAGAGGCACCAAGTGTAGGTGACAGACAACATGCGGTTAGGCCGGTATCAATTGGCAGCAGCAGCAAGAAGAAGAAGAAGAAAGCCAGAGGAGGGCCGCCAGAAAGAATGAATTGATTGACATGAATCGTTTTTTGGCAACCGTCAAATCGACCCCCTTATGTTGATCGTTCCGGAAAGAGAGCCATGAAATCAAATGTTGTTGAATTCATTCATTTTGTTAACTGTAGTGATGATTAAATGACGTTTATATTCCCACTATAACTAGTGGTAGATGTGAACTGCAAGCTGAGTTGTCCGTACGACTGAGTGTAATATCATTTTGACTTACTGTTAGAAATTATTACCTCCATCCCAAATTACACGTGTCTAGATGTATTCGTATCTAGACAAATCTAAGACAAGTAATTACAATAGAATGAGTGGACTAAACTTATTTTACCTTTGAGTGGCACGTAGCCTCTCTTGACAAGCTGATCAAAGTTGAGATATGCCAAGAGCCCACATGCACTGGTCGTGAAGAACAGATAGGCTGGCAGCCCCAACTCCTTGGCCACGTGCACCACGAACCCCATGGCGCCATCCGCGATGACGCAGGTCACCGGCGGGACGCCATCGGTGTGGCTGAGCCTCTCGACGAGCTCCCTGACAGGCCCCGGACACGTCCGCCTCTTGGCCTCACAGAGCTTCCAAATGTCCTGGGTGGCATCGAGGTCTGCCGGCGGGAGCCCATCAGGAATTGTCTCGAATCTGAAGCCAGGGACCTCCTCTACGGCGCCCGGCCCGCAGGACCGGAGGAGGCGGCGATAGTTGTGCTCGGTGTGGAGGAAGGTGATGTGGAAGGAGCGCATGTGCAGGGCCTTGGCCAGCCTCAGCAACGGGTTCACATGGCCTTGAGCCGGGTAGGGGATGAGCAGGACGTGCGGCTTGGCCTTGGCCGGCTGAGACGACGCCATGCGTTTTCTCTCCTTTGCTTGTTTCTGTGGATCCTCCGTGTTGTGTCGTGTGGAAAGTCTGTGCACTTAGCTGGCTTTTATAAAGAATAAGTTCGTGGTTGTAAGCATGATGGAGACTGAGACCAACATTGCCGCTTTCTTCAAAGCATCAACAACTCTGCTTTTACGATGCAAGTGCAACGTTCTTATAGCCGTAAAAAGAACTGCTAGCCCAATCCAAGTCGCACCCAAAATCTCACCAACAACCGATTTTCTTTTAAAACACAATTACAGCAAGCGCTCACGTACATGCATATTCGCTTTTTTTGTGTGTGGAAATATACACTTGTCGTTATAAATGCGTGAACACACACTCTACCATCATGAGCACCTTCAACCATTGTGAAACCGAGCTGACTGGTCATGATATTGAGTAAGTCATTATAGGCACACCGCTGTCTATGGGAATGTCGCCTCCCACTAAAAGAGAGTTTGATTCTTGGTGCACCAACCACCCTCCTAACCATCCAATCATAGATTAGTTCTCAACAACCGATTAAATTTGTCCATAAAAAATAAACTACACATGGCACTCGGCTTTCGGACGACTGATAGGCTTCTAGGGCGCGCCACATGGCCATCTTTGCTGAGTGTAACTGCCGAGTGTAGCACCTTTTGCCTACTGTTACACTTAGCAAAGCTTTTGCCAGAAGCACTTTTTAATTTGTTTCGCAGTTGGCCCTCCAATTTAACATATATAGCAATTCATATATCTCACAAACCCCATATCACAAGCACTGAAACATTAGATCCAACATTCCTCAACATATATCACAAAGTTAGAAGCAGATGTTCTCATGTACACAAGCACCCATATGGAAAGCCCACAAACACAAAGTTCGCCAACATAACCCATAGTTTACATGGTTTTAGATGAACCTTTTTGTATTGTTATTCTATAGGGGGGGGGGGGGCATGGGTAGTGGAAATAAATCAAAAAAATGTTTTCTTCTTGTCATGAAAACAGTGGCAACAACAGTAAGTTAATGTTGGCAACACCATAACTTTTGTGCGTGTTAGATATATGTGATGTCCTGACAACTTTTTGAACCCTTAATTTGTTTTCATCCGCAGGTTCATGGGGGTTGATATTACCTCAAAAGTTATGTTTGACGGTTTGAAAACCTATGTGAAGGCCAACTTAACCGCCACATGTGTGCATATATAGCTTTGACCACCTTATCCACCTCTCCCCAAATATGTGTGTATGTATAGCCTTTTCTACCGAGCTTGATTTGCATACTAGTGCTTGAAATATCATGTGGTACTTTTAATGCCTAGACCATGGCAAATGTTTAAGTGTATATGGCAGATATTAATGGCTGAACCATGATAGTTCAATGTATTAAATGTTAAAGTGAATGTCGTAGTTTTAATGCCAGGACTATGTCTACCTCCTTTAGAGCATGTTTAATAATATAGCCAACAGTTGGCTCTAAGAATTTGCCATGTCATTTAGAGTCAGTCTAATAGCCTGCTTGTACAATAGTAAGATTTAAGTATGTAGTACTTTATTAATAGCTGCCCCACTCCTCACAAAGTGACTTGGGTCTCGTGCTATAGCCGGCTCTTATTCTATAGCCCACTTCCATTCTCTCTCCTCTTCTCTCTCCTCCAACTAAGCAAAGATATAATATTTTAGTCCTTATAGTCTGCTTATGTCACCCTATTGTACTTGCTCTTAGTTTGTTTACAATGGGAGTATCATAGCTATTATCATGCATGTCAACTTGGCGTTTTGGTTGAGGTGGCACACAATTAAATGAGGAGAGAGAGGATTGAGTGTCATGATGTGATACCGTATCATATTAAATGATGTACAAGTATGTGTTATGCATGACAATAAATGATGCAAATATGATACCAAGCTTCACTATGCATGGTGGACGTAGTATCATACACTAGTATCCTATGCATATTACTAGTATATGATACTTCCCATTGTGACTGACCTTAGTAAATCTTAAGTGCAATAGATGTTCATGTGAAATTTTACATAGACGACACCTAACCATTTTGTGTGTGGTCCCTTTTGGGTGTTGTTTTCAACTTCCGCATTTCTTATTAGAGTGGCAACCAATCAATGACCCCTATGTTTTTTTATTGCATGGATATTGCAGTTTTTTCCACACAATAAGATGCTTATATTCAAAATTAGGTTCCCTAATTAACTCAAGGTGGCAATTAGCATTAGTAATATGTGGCAAGTCTAGTTTTGATCATGGAAAATTAAATGAATTGATATTTTGAAAGGGATTGACATGCATAACCTTTTTGAATCCTGATTTTTTAAGAAGGAGAAATATGGGAAAGAGAGGATTACAACTTTGGATCTAATTTTTCTTATTTGTTGTGTTCTTACACCTTAGGAGATAGGTAGTAGATGAATTGCAGATGAATAGTGTTGCAGATTTGCCCATGGTATTAGTTATTTTTCCTAGTGAAAATTATGTGATATACTAGGACCCAAACTAGTCCATTGTGTATTTTGGTTGAGAATATATTTGCATTGATATTTGTGTGTACCGGTGAAAAGAGTCAATGGATAAAGTAAAGTGTGCCTTAGCTCACACTCCTCGTGCGAAATTTGCTTGTAGGGTGAACGGCCCTATATGCGCGCTAACATCATACGATGCGTAGGAAGCGACACGCCAAATGGCAATCCAGGCATATGTTCGCGCAATATGCACACCCTTTGTAATAGATCTAGACAATTTTCTGCAAACAATAAATGATTAGAATAATGGCAAAATATAATAGTATCTCCAAGTCATGTGGTTGGTAGTTGCATGGTTGAATAATGCAAGTACATCACATCATTAGATACAAGCAAGTACATCACATCATTAGATATGTTGATCATCTCTATCAATTTGCCAAGTACAATATATTAATCGGGAGAACTATTGCAAATAGGAGCAGCGCATACAACGCCCTTCCATATGACGCCATACTACCATGGATATGGCTACCGGTGAATACAGCCGCTACTGAGTAAAGTGGCGTATACCTCTGCAGCAACAGACCGCGTCCGAGGACGAGAACGATTGGCTTCCCTTGGAGAACTGCTATAGTCGTCCGACTCTGGTGTTGTCTGGCCTAGATAGTGGCGGTGAGTAAAATGCTGGTGGCGTAAGAAGATGAAAAACCTAGGCAGAGGCGGCGACATTGATGCGTTGGCTAAGCACAAGTGTTCTATGCATCCGCAAGATAGCGGGACCAATAGGGCTGCCCTCTTATTCTTTTTTCTTCCTTTAGTCTTATCCAAAACATGCAGACTTATTTTCTAAATTACTTATGAAATTATCCAGCAACTTTAATTACAAAATTCTCCAAAATTCACAAGAAGCTAGGTCTGGGAAATGAATAGATAATTTTGATCTATGTGGTCAGGCGAATGCAACCATAGGCTCTGAGTGCTAAGACAACGTACACTTAAAAAGCCAAATCTGGTGGTTCATGATTTATTCAAAGTCAATGTCTATAAAATTTCATAGTTATTATAACCAATCCCTGCCACACACAAACCTAATATGTGGTCATATACAACTTTTACCACCTTATCCACATATCCGCAAATATTTGTATGTATTCCCTTTTCTGCCGAGCTTGATTTGTCAGACTAGTACCTGTAATATCATGTGGTACTTTTAATGCCTAGACCATGGCAAATGTTTAAGTGTATAATGTATTTTTTAATGGCTGGACCATGGCACCATCATGTATTAAATGTTAGATTGTATGTGATAGTATTAATGCCAAGACTACATCAACTTCCTTTAGTAAATCATGCTTAGTGCAAAATATGTTCATGTGAAATTTTTCATAGACCCCACCAAACAATTTTGTGTGGTCTCTTTTTCATGTGTTTTTATTATTCAGATTTCTTATTAGAGTGGCAACCAATAACTGATCTCCTTCGTTTGCTTTGCTACATGGATTTTATAGTTTTTTCCTCAATATAAGATGCATAGATTCAAAATTACGTTACGTAATTAACTCAAAGTGCCAATTGATATTATATGAGGCAAGCCTAGTTTTGATCATGGAATATTAAATGAAATGATATTCTGAAAGGGAGAGACCAGATGACAACACTGGCTCTAATTTTCTTTTTTGTGTTACCATTTTTGTTGACTCTTTTACATCATGGGAGATAGGGTAGCTTGTGAATTCTAGATGAATAGTTTTTGAGATTTTGTCATAGTTTTACTTATATTTTCTAGCAAAATAATGTGATATTGTAGGAGGGAAACTTCTGGACTATGTATTTCGGTTGAGGAGATATTTGCGTTGACGTGGTGAAAAAGTCAAGGATATAATAAACGGTGTGCCTCAGCTCACACTGCTCACGCGGAAGTTCTTTGGAGGGTGAACAGTTCTGTGTGCCCGCTGACAGCATACAACACGTAGGTAGCGACACGCCAGACGAGAATCAGGGTGTACGTTACCAGTTCACGATAACCCACCCCTGCAACATGCACACCTAAGATGTGTGCATATACAACTATTACCACAGTATCCACCTCAAATATCTATATGTATTGCCTTTGCTACCGAGCTTGATTTGTCAGACTAGTCCCTAAATTATCATATAGTACTTTTAATGCCTAGACCCTGGCAAATGTTAAACTTTATACTATAGTTTTAATGGGTAGAGCATGGCAGCATCATGTATTAAATGTTAGATTGTATGTGATAGTTTTAGTTCCAAGATTGCATCAAATTCCTTTAGTAAATCATACTTTAAGTGTTATATATGTTCAGATAAAAAATTTCATAGACGACACGCAACCATTTTTCAGTGGTCCCTCTTGGATGTGTTTTTCATGATTTAGATTTCTTATTAGAATGGCATCCAATCACTGATCTCTTTGGTTTGATTTACTACATGGACTCTCTTTTCTCACAATAAGATGCATAGATTCAAAACTAGGCTCCATAATTATGTCAAGGTGGAA